ATTGTAGTTTTTATTTTTTCTTAATACTCCCTATCTTCCAGTGCGATTAGTTGAGATTTGACTTTTCTTGGGCAGGAAAGGTGTGTATGCTTGTCTGCCTGCATGCTTGTGTAACGAAGAGATTGAGGTTTATTTAACAATAGAAAAGGAAGACCAGTTTCAAAATACATTCATATATAGATAAATATGATCTGATTCCCCAACCCCCTTCAGTTAATCATACTACTGTAAAGCCCCCACCACACCATACCAAAAGTAAAATTTACATTAACAAAGATTTCAACCACTGTTCCTAGGTTCATCTGTTTATATCCTGTGTGTATATATATTATGTATATATATGCAAATATATGCATGTAAATATATATGATTTATGTATAAATACATATGTAGGCACATACATATATACATCAGCTTGCTCGAATGTATGTAAATACATGTACTGGTGCTTTTGTAAAATTCAATATATTCCAAATTGAGTTCTGGATTCAATTTGTATGTTCAGTTTTACTTTGTTTTTCCCCTGAGAAAGCTTTTAAATGTTTTGGGGGCAAAAATGTCATGGTAGTTTCAGCTGTCCCTGCAACCACTTTCATTATTTGTGTCATTATTACTGCTGCATAATCTGAACATAAAAAAACATGGTGCTGTAACAAATGACTTCCCAGTACTGACAGTTATAGCAGCAACATTTCAATACTGATGAAAAATTTCCCAGCAAGATATCTGGCCAGGTTTACATAAACTAAACAGGAAATGGCTGCCATTATTCACATTAAATCCAAACTGTTTGGTGTAACTTTATCTGCGTTTTACATTACTATAAAAATATCTTTCATTGTCAGCTGGTGAAATTTCATTTATGCTGAGTGGAAAAAGATAGCTTGAGGTTTCATCTGTAGTATTCTTGTTTGTCCTTTGATAGATCTTTTAAAGATAATTTTTTGAAAAGTTGTTTTAGTTTCTGATTACATTTTATGAACTTTGTAAATTTTTATGACAGGGAGAGGTTTGTTATGACTTTTTCCCAATGGACTGCTAATAGAAGTTAGCTTGTCTAGCCCATGTGCTAGATGCTGTCAGTATCAAACTGCCTTTGACTTTCACACCTCTCAGGGGACTAGTAATTGTGTTCAAACAGCCTGTAATTGTGATCCCGCTGGCTTTCTCAGTACGCTTCTGGCTATTAGAATCATTAAACAACTCAGCACCTGTTAACAGCATTGTAAATATTCAACCCAGCTTGTGTGCAGGTTGAGCCCAATATAGAGAAATCTTACAGAGCTCAGTCTCATAAATTAGAGCTCCTGACAAGTCAATTATTGTGAAACTGGGTTTCTCTGTGAAATAAATGAAATAGCATGCTGACAAAAAGGTAGGCTGTCTGTTTATGGGAAAGAGAAGATAATGACTTGATGATTCAATGCGGTGAGCATGAAACTACATTGTATCCTTCATCTGTAATTAAACAGTGGTGTAATATTTCTGTTTAAATAATCAGTAAATTATAAATTTTGTACTGTTGAGAGTACAACATGAAAACAGACCATTTTACTTAGCTGTTGCATGCTTTTTCAAGGTAGTAAAGTGGTTGTTGAAATTAATGATATGTAATGTCTTAAACTAAATGCTTATACTTATTTAGACTAGAAACTGTGAGATAACTGAAAAGTGGATAGAACTGAAAGCCATAGTATGCTACTAATATAAATCATATAAATCTGAACTCCATTCTTTAGACACAGAAAAATGTCAGAATGTATTAACTTTCGAAATTTTGTGACAAAAAAAATTTCATTTACATTGTTTTATTATTTTACACTGTCTTGCAAATTATACATCTAATTAAGATGTAACAATATCTTACTTTTATAATTTTGAAAATGTTTTAAGTGACCTTAGAACTTCAGTCCAAATATTAGCAAACAATAATATTTGGTAAAGATCAGTGAAGTTCAATTACTTGAACTGAACTGAATTTTGTATTTTCAGCTGTTATGCAAGTCAGTAAGAATGTTGGTGAGCACATTTAGAAAAAAACTATATTAAGAATAAATATCTGAAAGTTTTCAGTGTTTTTCTGCTCAAAGACATGTGCTAATTTTTAACAGGTTAGATTATGGATAATGTTTTAGCGAAGTCATTAGATAGTTTGTTGTACTCTCAGAGACATGCTTTAGTTGATTTTTTTTCTTTTTGACAACTTATTTAATATGTTTAAGAAATGTTTACCCTGACCATATTTTACCTGGATGAAAGCCACAAATTAGTCATCTTAAAAAATGTCCCAGTGGACTTAAATAAACAAACTTTAGAAGGGATATTATCCCATCAAAATGTCTTGTAAATACAGTGAATAAAATAAAACAGTGAGTAAAATAAGTGTTGAAAAGAACCTGTAATTTTTTAAGGAAAGTTTTTGTCATTGATGGTCTTAAATGTTCTTTGTAAGTGTACCAAATTTATTTATTAAAGCATAAAATGTTAAAGTTGTCTTTTCAGTTATATTTATAGGATAATGGCTTATGGTAATCAGTAGCAGCATCCATGAGATTTTTTTTTTTCCAAATAACCTAATAAATGTATAGATAAAAATGAAATTTTAAGTTTTTGTTTTCAGTTATATTTATAGGATAATGGCTTATGGTAATCAGTAGCAGCATCCATGAGATTTTTTTTTTCCAAATAACCTAATAAATGTATAGATAAAAATGAAATTTTAAGTTTTTGTTTTTCATGGTAATATTATTTCCAAAATGTCTTTCTGTAATTTTAATTGCATAAAGAATAATAGTTTGATTTTTTCATTACAAATGACACTACTTATACAGTAACTTGTGCACATTTTTACCAGTGTTCTCAATTTAGAAATAACTTTATCAACTGTATATTACTACAGACAGCTGAAAATAGTACTGGAAAATTTATAGGCTTGCCAAAGCCAAAAGAATGTGAAATACAAAGTAAGAGCTTACATTGCAGAAAGTTTGACTGATGAATTTCATTTCCTTTAAAAAAATGAAAGAGATATATATTTTTAATAGTTTGGAATGTCTTTAGAGATCTGTCTCTTTTATGGAGCTTTGAATGGCCAGAATTTTTATTTTCACCTCTAAATCAGAAGACATTATTCTAACTAAATACTTCTGCTTAGTCATTTTCCAGATAAAAGAAATATTTTCTAATTGTTTCTAATGCTGTTTTTTTTTACTTACATATGTGCCTGGTAGACATAAATTTGAACATTTTGTTTAAATTAATGACAGCACTGAGTTCGGTATTTATTTATATAACTCTTCATTGATAAATATTGTTTTACTGTGGTCCATGAAAAGAGTTTTTCTGGAAAAGCAACAATTTTTCTACTGTCTAAAATTAAAGTAACTTTTTTTTTTGAAAAATTATTTTTCCAAATTAATTCCAGTAGTCTCATTAATTCTTATTCAGTGGAGACTCTCATATTTGGATACACCTAGCCATTTGTGCTTATATCTCCTTCTAATGAAAATATATCCTGACATGATTTAAGTCCTGCTTTGTGTGTTTTTAAATTTTTTTTTTTTTTTTAATTTGGTGGCCCCAAGTCTTTCTCTTTGAAGAAAGGGGGAAAAAAATCGTGTGTTTTTAAATTTTTTTTTTTTTAATTTGGTGGCCCCAAGTCTTTCTCTTTGAAGAAAGGGGGAAAAAAATCAACAAAAATTTGTTATCTTGACAGTGTTTCTCCATCCCTGTCACATTTAAGCCTCTCCCATTTGAGATTGTTAACACCCTTTTCCCAGGCTATGAATATACCCTTTCTAGTCCTGTACAGATGTGAACTTTCATGGTGGGGTTTAAATGACAAGAACCTGTTGTCTAAGACCACTTTCCACTCCTGTTTCTTGATTTGAATGGTGAAAGGGGAGGTAGGGCATATAAAAACTCCATGTTGACTAGGGTGCAGGGTTCACTTAGTAGGAATTAAAGAACTGTCATAATGGTGGGTGTAGTCCTTTACCCTTTGAATCTATTTCCAGATAACAGATTCCTATTGATTATAGGTATTTGCCAAGAGCCTCTCAGAGTTGCAGGGAGGAGCATTCAGGTGAATTGCATGTCCTTAGCTTTTTACCTGGAAAATATACAGAGCTGTACCAATGCATTTTCTGTATATTACAGCTTAGTTATACTGCTTTATTTTTAGCCTGATGATGTCTCTTCTACTCATTAGGATGACATTTATTCCTTAAGCTCTAGGAGAACAAAAATTAATTAAATTTCCTAAAAGAACTCATCTACCTCCCAAATCTATAGTTCTATGAATTTTGTGAAGTTACCGAGGATAGATTTCATAATAAAAGGGGATTATATGTATATATTTATACCTACACACGCACACTTCACACTTCACAGTCTGTGAACTCGGTACATAATTTTAGTTTGGTGTAGATGTGAAAACTGAACTAATGCCAGTTTTAAAATAGGAAAGTTAGTGTTTTTAATGTGATGCAGAATTTTATCAACTTATCTTACATAGTTTTTGTTTTTTACTTATTTTAAATTTTTATAACAGATTTAATTTTACAGAGAAATTGAGCAGAAAGTATAGATAGTTCCCATACCTTCCCGCATATGCGGTTTCTCCTGTTATTGACATGTTATATTAGCGTGGTACATTTGTTACAATTATAAATCAATATTGATATATTATTATTTACTTAATTTTATATGAGGGCTCCCTCTTTGTATTGTACAGTTCTATGGGTTTTGCCTAATGCATAGTGGTTATCTTACATATTTTTAATGTGCTATCATTGTTCGTCACTGTCAACAAACCTTACTGTGGGGTTTTTTGTCTGTAAACTGATAATGGTAATTGCATTTGGTTTATTTCTTTGAGTTGTTATAAGTGTAATTTAATGTTTTTGAAATTCCAAAAAGAGAAGAGACATGTGAAACTGAGGTGATACTTTTAATAGAAAATATCTTGAAACTAATAAAAAAACTTGCCTGTTTTCTAGCTATTACAGTTTGGGTGATGTGAGCCATGATTCTGTGAACAAGTTTCTGTCCCATCTGATTGAGAAGTCCTTAATTGAATTGGAACTTTCCTATTGTATTGAAATGGGAGAGGTAAGATGTAGTCATATATATTCTAATTGAAAAGATTACCAGCTTTTTAACAAGAGGGCTTTTGCTTCTAGTGATGCCAAAATTTTTAACAAAATTTCTGCAATGGCAACCTGCAGTATGGATTACTAATTGTATGAAGGTATGTACTTCCATTGTGCTTTTTATTTTCGTCATTTCATCTTTCTTTTGAAATAGGATAATCGGAGCATTGAACCTCTGACATATGGCCGAATTGCCTCCTATTACTATTTGAAGCACCAAACAGTTAAAATGTTCAAGGACCGTTTGAAACCTGAATGCAGTACTGAAGAATTGCTTTCAATTCTGAGTGTGAGTTTCATGATGTTATTACATTGTTTTTTAATATAAAGAGACTATCTTTTACATATTTCATACCTTCTCTTTTAATTTAGGTATTAAATTGTTGCCATCTAGTTCTTCTTGAAATTTGACAGAACTGTTTATGAAGTCCTTCCTCTATCAAACAAGGTCACTACAAAGCCACATTATGGTACTAAGTTGCCCATAGATATGGTGACCATGTAATTCATCATCCAAACTTGGATCCTTCTGAGAGTGAAATGGGGGCACTCTTATTTAAGCCAGGATAATAGTTGTAAATTTGGCTGTTCTGAGTAATCCAGGCAGTCACCCTGTCTTTAGATATAGTGGCATCTTTGAATTATAATTGAAAGCTTATCTTATTACTTCTCTTGGATGGTTCCTGTTAAATACTTATCCACAATGTTACTAAAGTTTCTTTACATAAGGTTCGATATGATTAAACTCTCTTAGAATCATGCCAGGAAAGGAAAGCTGTTTCATCTCCACCTTCACCCTACCCCCACATATACCCGTCTTTAAAAAAAAAAAAAAAGAGATATCACATTGTAAAAAACTCTCCTGTGTTTATTTTTCCTTTTTTGCCAGGAAGCTAAGAACTAAATTTGATATTGATGTTAAAATTACTATTTGGAGTGTTTCTCCACCTTCCTTTCTACATACTGTATACTTCTGGCTTTTTTTTATTTTGTTGAGTTGAAGTGTAATAATTTACTACAAAATTTTTTTGACACATTAGTCAGGATATACATATATACTGACAGATATCTTATCCATCAGCTGTGTTGGTGCTTTTAAAAAAAATTAAGAGCCATTGGACTATAATGTCTTTAACGTTCCTCTCTTATAAATTCACTTATTCTGTGGGAGTTCACTTACTTCTGTTTTTAATTCTTCTCTATTGCTTCATCATTCTAATGAGATTTGATATTCCATTCACAGTTTTTCAGTTTCTCAATTTTTACATTGATAAACTCATTTAATCCTCACAGCATCCACTCATTTTATATTAATAAATTCCATTGTTATTACCATTTTATAGACTAACCAACTTGTCTAAGTTTGCACAGCAAGTAAGTAGTTTGCATTACCTGAGTATGGGCTCTTAACTACTCTACTTTACTGCCTTTCTTGTCATACACACACACACAGAGTCAAATGGAAAGTACTAGGGTGGGAGGTACGAAGGAACATATATTAAGACTAGATATACATTGTAAAGGAGGTTTGTGAAAAACATATGCCTGTTACATTCTACATCCTCATCCACCCCACTAAAAATACAAAAAAAAAAAAAAAACATATACAGTACAAAGAGAATTAAATCATTATCCCCTGAGCTTCAGTCTTTTCTATGAAACGGCATAGATCAGAACAAGAGGTCTGTCCACTCCTGTCGCTGGTCTTTCTCTTTCTAGCATTACATTGTGTAAAACCATGTATGGTAGTCTTATGCTATATTTTTACCAAAATAAAGTCAACTCTTCTGTGAGTAACTGAGTAAAACAAATTATCTACAAATATGTGTAAGGTAAACTCGAGCATCTTTGTATAGATTTTGTTCGATAATTATAATAATTATAATAAATGCCCCACAATAATTTCCTTAGCAACAATGATATACTGTAATCTCTTCCTCCTATGGTCCTTTTGACTGAAAGATAAAGGCAGCAGGCATTTTCTGAGTTTATTGATGAAACTGAATTCTTCCAAATACTATGGAGCTAAAGGAAATTGTCTAAAGAAATATCTTGAGTATATTAAAGTGTGTATCTCTTGGATGTTTTATCCTTTATTTGTTACTCCGCATTTTTCCATATTAAAGTCCATTGGTCACCTTTCTACCCACAAATTATATATTGATTCATCCAAAAAAATGTTTACTGTGTGTCTACAATGTGTAAGACACTTTCTAAGGACAGGATATACTAATAGAATAATTAACATTACTGACAACCTTTCTATATATGTATGTGTGCATATGTATGTGTGTGTGTATATGTATCAATATGTAGATAAACTATGAGCCATATTAATAAACCATGAAAAACACTTGGGTCTTGCTACTGACTTAAGTCATCAGCTCAGTGTAGTGCTCTAAGAATAGCAGCAGAATATTGCCCGCCATCAAAAAGAATAAAACCAGAACAGGATATATTGCATTCTGTCCTTCATGTTAATCTTCCCTAAAAGGGAGATTTGCTGTATACATTACTTGTGGCCTCACATCAAAAGGACATCAGGGAGAAAGTCTGAATGGCTCAAAGTGAGCTACTCAAATGATAGAAGACATGTGATTAGGGCACTTTAGTCAGGCAAAAGCTGTGAATCAGTGTAACGAAATTACAATCATGAACTGTGTGAATAGAGTCTCCTTTGGATCTTGAACATAGTAATTTTTTCACAATTAGTAGGAAGTTCCATCTGATCCCCTACAGTAATAAACTCAGAGGATTTATTTCAACTGATGGATATAGTATAGGCCCAAAATTTGTAGATTCAAAAAGGGGCTTTTTTTTATTTTGTTGAGTTGAAGTGTAATAATTTACTACAAAATTTTTTTGACACATTAGTCAGGATATACATATATACTGACAGATATCTTATCCATCAGCTGTGTTGGTGCTTTTAAAAAAAATTAAGAGCCATTGGACTATAATGTCTTTAACGTTCCTCTCTTATAAATTCACTTATTCTGTGGTAGTTCACTTACTTCTGTTTTTAATTCTTCTCTATTGCTTCATCATTCTAATGAGATTTGATATTCCATTCACAGTTTTTCAGTTTCTCAATTTTTACATTGATAAACTCATTTAATCCTCACAGCATCCACTCATTTTCTCATAGCATGACCCAACTTTTGGGAAAATCTTGAAGGAAAATGGCACCAGACGCCTATTTGGCAAAACCTAATACCACCTAAGTATCAGCCAGTGCAATCCATTACTTCTGTATTTTTAAGAACACCCCCAACTAGAAATTCTTCCTGCCTGTCCCTAAGAAGAGAAATTTGCATGCTCAAAGGAACTGTCTGTATGAAAGTGAGGAAAGGTGCTTTCTCCACTACAGGATACCACACCTGAAACCCCCACACTGATCCTGGGCGAGTGTGGCTTCTCACCGTGAGATGCAAAAGGAAGCCTACCTGTGACCTCTCATTTCTGATAGAGGGTGCCGCACCCAAACAGATAGGTTGGCTAGACAGGGCTTGTGGAAATAATTACACTATTGTGTACGCTTTTGCACACTGTGGCGCAAGTGGAACCGTGCACGGATGATAACCTCTGAGCATATTTCATGAACTTAGAGTCACTACAGGCCTCTCACTTCTTGTATTAAATAGTCCCTTTCAAAACAGATAATATCGGGCCGGCCCGGTGGCGCGCTGCTACAGTGCACCGCTTGGGAGCGCGGCGGCGCTCCTGCTGCCGGTTCGGATCCAACATACAGACCGGTTCCCACTCACTGGCTGAGCGAGGTGCGGGCGCAACACCGAGGGTTGCGATCCCGTTGCCGGACATGAAAAAAGACAGAAAAGGAAAAAAGAAAAAAAAAAGATTTTTATTTATCAATAAATGTCCAGGTTTAGCAGTTCTCTGTATTGCTTTCCTTAAAAGCACACTGATTATTTGCTATGCCCATATGTAGAACAGTTTCGGTAATACAGCATTTTAAAATTGAATTTCATCATGTTTGGTGCACAACTACAAATCTTTTGGTAGGAAATCCCAAAAATATTTCTCAAACATGTAAGGTTGGAAAAATAAGCAAAAAAAATTTTAAAACTAAACAAATAAAAAGTACAGCCAGTTATGAATAGTATTGATAGGGGACCCAGCATGTAGAATCGAAGAGTTCATTAAAGGAAAAATGAAGAAAGGAAAGGTTAACCAAGTAACAGTGAACACCACCAACCTCATGGCCTTCCATTTCCAAATAACCTCCTAATAATCACAGGATCCCATCTGCTGCTCTTTATCTTCCTAGTGGGGAAACTTAATGGGATATCTTCCAGGGTTTGCGAGAAGAGCTTCCCTAACCCTCAGGCTGGGGAGCTGCCTGGCATCTTTTGGAGAAGCACAGATGGCAAATGTCTTGAAAAAAACTATCTTTCTACTTCTCTTGGTCTCTTTCCCTTGAGACCTTCCTTGTTCTTCATTATTTCTTAGCTTCTCCTAGCTTTCTGCACTGACAAGCTTTCTTTAGCACAGAGAAAAGTGAAATATTTTCCTAATAAAAGCCTCACTCTTAGATATGTCTGTTGTGATTTAGTAGATTACCCCAAAGATTTTTAAGCTATTATGTTCCAATGAGTATAAAATGTATTTGTGACACTATCTGGAGTTTGTCCTGTTTTAAAGTTTTATTTCTTTTTTTTTTCTTTTCTTAATTATTTTTTTCCCTAAACTGTCCCACAGAATAAGAACTGTCAATTACCAGGATTCTGAAGGTTGGTGATTAAATAGGGTTGTTAATTAAGAAATGAGTTTAGATACCGCAGTATGAATAGCTTTACTGTTTCTTCCATTATCACCTAGCTTAACTTTCTCATTTTTCAAAAAAAAAAAGACCCAGCCTGTTATGGAAAAATAATATTATATATATTATTATATATATTATATATAATATAATAAAAACTCAGCTCACAACAGGGAGGGGGCAGAGTTAGAATTAGAATTTATCTCCTGGCAACCTTTTAAATGTTTGTCTCTTTTCCTCTTGCTGTTTTCTACTTTTCTTCTTTTTACATCTTATTTTGCCTTTTATCTAAATTTACAAAGCAAGGTACATAAAAAGGATACGCTTATAACCTTCTCAGCCTAAGCTATCTGTAAAAAATACTTTCAGCTTGTGAGTGTTTATTAAAATATGCTAAGTGTTCTGTGCAGTACTCAGTGCACTTGGGGAGTACCAAAGAATTAGAAGGCAGATCCTTATCTTTTAAGAACATTTATACTAGAGCCCAAAAAGCCTAATGAACACAATAG